ATTCTGGCACCCACATCCATTTAATATACAAAGGATGACCCAGAAGTTTAAATATTGTAAGCTGGATCAAGATATACACAAATGGTGAAAGTAGCGATGTAATGGTGCACAAAATTCATGGTTGTGTACATGCATCAGTTTTGGGTTCTTTTGTGTCTGAATAACAAAACCTAACAGACACTTATTTGCACATTGTAAAAATAAAAACATAAAAATATAAAATCATGATCATAATGAATTAAATCCCATGTTCTCTACTACAGATTATGGTCGCATATCTCTTTCTAAATTTCCTTGCAGAAGTGCATTAGATGGCATGGGAATTTCAACTTATAGAGGAATATTCTGTCTTGCTCCAGTTGTAGACATATGTACACACTCATGCAAACACTTTCTCTCTCTCCCTCTCTCACACACATGCACACACACTTGGAGGATGATGTTTCAAATGAAATGGCACACTGGATGCGTTTCCATGCATTTATTGGGAAAACAATGTTCCAAAACCTGCCGATTATCATTACCTATAATCAGCATTAGCTGAAATCAACCAAGTCACAATTAGCAAAATGTTTTGTACAGTCAGTCCTGCTATAACACGTGACACACCGCATATCTGTTCTAACACAACTGATGCATTAGTACCCAAGTCCAATATAACGCAGAATTGCATTTGTATGTGTGATTTTCAGTCGGAGAGAAAAGCACAATGCAAGCTTTCTCTTAGAGAGAAACACTACTTGCATGCAAAAACAACTATCCAAGTGAATGATAGTGATGGCCGATTCATCAACAAATTGTTTTTTGAACCGGTTCTTGCCAGTGAATCAGTCAAACTGGTTTTCAAATCTAAAAGAATTGAACTTTTTGTACATCAAAGCATTGCACAGGTTAAAGTCTTAGATTCTAAAAATCTGAAAATATTTAGCAAATTATACAAAAACACACAGTAACCTTATTTGATTCACTGACATTTGGTTTTCATAGATTGTAAGCAGCCATGTTGACTTCAGGGTCTCTCTGCATACCGTAATCCGCTGTTTTTGTGCTGTGTGCTTGCCCAGCCATATGGTGGCTTTGACTCACTATTCCCAACTCTCAGTAATCGACAAGTTCCCCAACCCGGTCCTCTTAGACTAGGAATGAAATGGTTACTGGTTTCACGGTAAACCGTGGTACATTTTCCTAGTTAGTATTACCATATAAAATTTTAATAATCATTAACGCCGTGGTTCACCATCGTGCTTTGAAAAACATATGTTAAACACTGTCCAGCTTTTACCAAAGTTAGCAACAGGCTCCAAGACAGAGGTGCAGCATGCAATGTAGGTTTGTTTTGTGCTGAAAACATGGCAGAAAGTGGTGACAGCGCTCAGGAAATTTTTCAGACATCTAACAGGACTAGGTCAGAGGTTTGGTCCTATTTTGGCTTTTATAAGTCTCCAGAAATGATTGAAGATGGCCACCCTGTCTGCAGAACACGCAGAAAAAAAATATCTGCAAAGGGGGGCAACACGTTTAGTCTTTCAAGTCGTCTTCGTGACCACTGACCACCACTCTCTACTTTATAGTGAATGCAAGGTAGGTTAACGTTTGCTTACTGTTGTAAAAACATTGCACATTGTCATTGTTGTAATGGAGCTGGCAACTTTTGCCAATGTGCTCTTAAGAATGAATTACGTGTATGTTTGCGTTTGCATATTCTTGAAACAGAACAATGTTTAATCCAGCTTATCTGTTGAAGGTTAATTGTCTCACATGAAAACACCATACAGATAACTCACATTCAGTTGCTTTCTGGGTTCATTCTACACGAAATGAAAGCTCATGTCTGCTAGGAATGGGTTCCCGAAGTTTTCCAATATCACCGCACTGCCTTATGTCACCACAGTTCTAGGTCAGTGATTGCAGACCAGCAGTTTCAGGATGGAAGTTTAGAGGTGGGAACAAACCAGAGTCAATGATACCAGAATACCCAGTATTTGTTTATTTATGATGCTAATGTAGTTAATAAAAAGTTGGTTACTGTTTTATTTTATTGGCTACATTATTATTATTTAAATGTTTAAAGTGCATTGTGCTGCTAATTTTATTTGTGGTTTTCAAAATAGGCCTAAAACTTGGTGAAATAATTTTGATTTGTGTACTTTTTGAACATTTTCAGCACATATTAAAAATACCGCAGTAATACTGATAACTGTGTTAGTTTTGGTCACTATAATCATGATATTAAATTTTTATACTGTTTTTTCTCTATTGGGGACCCACAAACATTTCATGTTTTTGCTCCATCTCAGTTCCCTGCTAGACTGTCCACATTTTTACTCCCTCCAGCAAAACTGTGGACTGTCTTTTGGTCCCAGAGGACCAGATTAGGAAACACTGAGTAATTCGGCACATTCAGTTGAAGCAGTTACTAGGCAATTCATGTGAGACTCATAAGATCCATAGATGTTTACGATCATTTACGAATGTATAATTTTTTATTTGAAATGCATAGAATTACATTATTGGCCACTAGCGTTACTGTTTTTATTATTTAATTCATTTAGTTTGGTGCAAGTTACTATGTTTTGGAGTCACATACCATATTTTTCCCATTGGATATGTGCATTTTAGTATGGGATTATAGTGAACGCTAAGTTTTTCAAGGACGAATTAGTCGCATTGTAGCAGGAGTGACTGCACTTGTAAATTCAGGTTCCACCAGTGTCTGTAAATATATTCATTTATTTAATTGTGCATACCGAACCAAAAATTATATACTGAATGGTACAAAACTAACACATGTACTGTTACAGCCCTAGTTGAAAGATTCTGGAAGTTCATTTCATGTATTGGCTGGCAACCTTAAATGCAAAAATTGAATTATAATATATAAAATTATGATAAAAATTGGCTGCTCAAAGGTTTTATTTTACCCTTAAGAAAACCATAAAACCAAAACAAACGTTATGCAACCATGGTGGGCCTGGAAATCAAGGTTCTCAGCAATACAGCTGTGAGACACTACAATGCCATCCCAAGCCAATGTCATTCACTTCCCTAAATATGTCCAAAAGCCCCATTCATTTGTGGTATACACATATCCTAAGATAAACTACAGCACTCTTCCTTTAACTTCTTTAAAAATGTTTTTTATAAATGTCATTGGAATGGTGCTTGCTATCATTGTCAACACTTAACTGACATTACTTAACAATCATATGCATCCTTTGCTGTGAGTAAGCAGGAGCATTTAGATAGCATACTCTGAATTTAATCTACTTTTATTGTGACTTATTCTGGAGACTAAGATACACACCCCTGGGACTAGAACTTTAGAATACAGAGAACAGAATTAACTGTTCCACTATGCCAACTGGACAGATTTTTCCCTTAGAAACTTTATTAAAGCTATGTAAAAGGGAATATCGTAAATGGCCTTCGTAGTTTGTAACTAGGTAGAGTCTTTTGAGTTTGAAAGATAGGATAACCACTTGGAAGCAAGTGGGAAAACAGTAATCAAAGCCTAATAAGAAATCCATCCAACCTGCACACAATGTTTACCACACTCATTAATCAGTCGAAATTGGCAGTATAATATATGACCATCCGTTTATAAAGTTCTGCATAGAGGATTTTTATTGATGTACTCTAGTTGTCATGAATTACTTTTAAACCAATGAAAATATGTTCAATTAGTATAACGGCAGAATACGGATTCATCCATCCATCCATCCATTTCCCAACCCGCTTACCCTACTGGGTCGCGGGGGGTCCGGAGCCTATCCCGGAAGCAATGGGCACGAGGCAGGGAACAACCCTGGACAGGGGTCCAGCCCATCACAGTACGGATTCATCGTTTGTAATTGAAACAGCCGGCTAGTATTACTATTAAACACGGCGTGTATTACGCTGCAAATCAGAATTGGGCCCTTAGTAAAATATATATATTTTTGGATTTCTCGCGATGAGTGGAATTCAAATAGACTGCCCACGCTAATTTCCAAAGTTAAACAGGATTTCTTTTAACTTCACAACAATTCTTAAATATTTCAAGAGCAATGCTACCTATGGAGCAAGTGAAGAACTACTTCAAGATGACACCGAGGCGTTCACGGGGGGACCGTAGCCGTTTTGTAACCAGTTCTCAAAAGAGCGGCGTAAAATAATATATTCAACTTGCTAAGCAAGACCAAAGGTCATTTTTCAAGTGGACTACGAACACATGCTAACACCACTTTAAAAAAAAAAACAAAAAAAACAACGGGACTCTCAAGCAGTTTAATTCAGGGTGCACGAACTATTCTGATATTTAATGTAGATACCAGACACAGAAAATGAAATTGAAATTAAAAACGTCGAAAACCCTAAACAAAAAATAACTCACTGCTTGATTATAATGTAAAACACAAAGTAGACGAAATAATCACGTTAGGAGCAAGACAAACTAAACGTACAAATTAACTGAACATTAACTGCTTCATCAAACCCAAATTGAAACATATACTTCATATAGGATATGCCCATTTTGTCATTGTATATAATAAAAAATAAAAATGTAACACACTGTTTACAGTAAGGGTAAACGGCTCACACATGCATATAGCACAGCAGCAGCGATAGGTCAAAACCTACACTGCAGCATCGCACAATGTGTCGATACTCCGATATGTGGCGTTCGATAATACATGTGCATATGAAATATATATGTTTATATAAATTCTCAGCTTTTCTGATGGGCTCTGCGTGCGCCTCAGGCCTACTCTCGGCGGCCGCTCCGCTCCTCTCTGTCAGCGGTACCCGCACAGCATCACTTTACCTCGGCCCAGCGCCTCACACCCGACTCCGGATCATCGCCACAGCCTTAATCCACCACGTATCGCTTCACTTTCCTCTTAGACAGTTTCACTAAATAAAATCTGTCTCATTTACTCCGTTTGCTTTTTTCCGTCGCGCCTACCGGACGCCGCTGGACCTCTCCTGCTCGCTCTGGGTCCTAGTGCCCGCTCAGAAACAGTACACGCGAGTCCAGAGGACTCCCTGCGCTGAGGCGGCGGAACGTCAAACAAAATGCAGGGACATCAGAGAAGGAATTTCGATACAGCCCTTAGTCCCCTTGCTCAGGTGCGTTCCGCGGTCCATCTTTCTAGATATATTTTATTTTCTTCAAGATGTTTTGTTCGTCTGCTGTGTACTTTTTACATTCCTCTGCACGGTGCGTTGTATATTTGCACGTTGTCTGAACACGTTGTCTTTTAGTCCTATGCATTTGTCTGCACTTTGCTGCTTTATGCACAAAAATTTCAAGGCAATTCATCTTAATCATAATGTTTGTTTGTCCTGATGTTTTTTGCGTAATTGGCTTTGTTTATATAATGAGATATTTGTAGAGATTAAATATTTGTGCACAGTGAACAGGTTTGAACAGTTTCCTATATATAATGCGTTTCATACAAAACCACACAAATATGTTCATATAGTGACCTGCCAATTTAAATACAATGTAAGATAGATCATCTGCTTAGTTTAGCCTATCGGGCTTCGTTCCAGGTTGTTTCCTTTATTCATTTCCTCAGCCGTTCATCCACTTCCGCCTAGTGTACCAAAATTATACCATAACCATAAATCGCGCTTGCTGTGTGTCGCTGTGTCATCTGCCCCCGGCCTGCACTACGTGTGAATTAAGCTCACCAATCGCGGGCGAAGTCTGAGTAAACTAGCAAGCAAGTCTAATATATAATATATAAATAATGCTGCATTTACATTGTCTTAGATTTTATTTGTAGCCTATAAAAGGAGAATGCTTATCACTTAAGCTCACAGTCACAAAATATTTTAAAGGGGTAGTCTTTTAAGGGATGCTGAATGTATACAATTATTCAGAAATATGTTGTCTTGCTAATTTTTTTCATTTACAATTTTAACATCCTTTTAATGACTGTCATCTGTTGAACTAATTGCAATATTAATATATGCAATCGCTTATATTCTATATTTATATTTCCATAGTTATTCATCTGTAAATCTATTTTTATGGTTGTTTGGTCATTTTGTGGCAGGTTGTGGAACAAAGGTCCATAACAAAGCAGGACAGTCGGGTTCAAATAAAAGACAAAATATTCAAGGACAAAAAAAAAAGTCTAAAACATCAAATACAAAGAAGCACAACAACACAGATCACAAGCTGATGGCAGTTACAGAAGTTAAAGAGCCTTCCTCCAGGCATTTCCCCACAATGATAAAAAAAAACACTGAAGCAATTCCGATAACTAAGTTTCATCATCTAGGGCAACTGTAGTTTTAGTGCTGGAGGTCATTTGCCACAGTAACTCACTGTGCATGTAGTTGTGTTTTGTGTGTAAAATGTTGGTTCATTTCTGTGTGATTAATATGTTTTTATACTTTTGTGCATGGATGTGTTTATTTCCTGACTGCATTTCTATATTTGTGTGTATAAATATATCTATGTGATTTTGTGAGGAAAGGTGCAATATTATTGCTGAATTTAGTTCTGCAACCTTCAGATATTCTTAGAAATGAAGTTGCTGCAGCGTAAATTTAACTTGCAAGGGTGGTTTTTCCGCACCAAGAGGAAATCCCCTCACACAGCTTAGACAAGTAAACAACATATCAGAATAACACTATGGGAAAGTGAACAGGTTATGAATTGCTCTCACTCTGAATCTATGAAAAGGTGTTTACTACTGAAAATAAATTATTGTGGTCTTAGCTCAGTACTAGAGAATTATACCGATTATACTATACTGATTCTATAAAAAGCTAGTTTGCCAGGCAAATTAAGATATACCTCCTTAATGACATCATGAGATTTCAACTGCATAGGAAAATGATGGATATGATATATTGGGGACTACTTTATCAACAATAACCAAAAAATTTATTATTGTTCTGTAACTAGCCTCTTAATAAGGCCTCAAAACTTTTAAATACCTCTATAGGCATCCCAAGTGTCTTGAATATCTGCAACCTGCAAATGTAATTCATTTGGCAATTAACTTGCATATAAAATCAGAGCAGCCTTGCATCTATAGTTTTTGGGATAGACTCTAAACCCTTTGCAACCCTAAATGGGACAAACCGGTATGGAAGTTGGATTGATGGATAAAATTAGAACAAAGCTATTATTTTGAAATGTTAAGATAAAGTTCTTTATATGCGGGTCACACCTGCCTGCAATCAGCACTCCAAGGGCTATGTGTAGCTCAATGGGTTAGGCCTCTGTGCATTTGCTCAGAAGGTCAACGATTTGAATCCCATCCTTGGCAGAATGATTACATCTTTTAGGCTCTTGAGCACAGCCTTTAATGTCCCAAAGGTGCCAGATAGATGACTCACCCTGCATTCACACCCATTTTTGATACTGTATGTGCAAGGATATATGAAAACAAGCATTCCAATGTACCTGTACTTGTATTCTGAAAAATAAAGCATCATTTCTCAGCATGCTCAACCAGTCCACTCCTTGCCTTTTTTGAATCCTGGAGACACTTGCAGCATATCTCTTAATTAGTCTAAGGAAGATATAACAAAACTCACTGAATATATAAAGCTTGCTCTTTAATGAATTTGATTGTTTACATTTTAGTCATTTTTAAACTCTTGCTTGTCTTCAGATCTTGCTTATAGACTGTGATTTGGATTTTGGTTAAAATTATGTATGACCTTTTTGTATTTTGTTTTAAATTGCATAATTTTTCAGGATCTTTAAGACAAATCAGGCTACTTCTACAGAAAACATACATGCTACATTAACCCAAGATGTGTTGTAAGAATTATTTCTAACATTGAATTTCATAATACTGTCTAAGTGTGAGACTGTAGTGTATCCTGCACAAATGCTCATTTGTTCTAAGTAATGTAGTGTCAGTGGACCAAACAATGTTGCTATTGTACTGTTATTGCAATATGTTTCTGTATTTGAGCCTGTGCTGTCAGTAAACTGTCAAAGATTCTCTCACAACAACATTTAAACTCAATACTCTTCATTGCCCTGTTGTGGGGAATCAGGCTGCACAATAGCCAAAAAAACAGATGAACATTTTTGGCTGAATGCCAGTCCATTGTAGGGTATGCATGAACTCACATACGATGAGCAATTCAGAGATGTCAGTTCACTTAACTGCACATCTTTGGACTGTAGGAGGAAATTTAGCAACACATGGAGAACAGGCAACCCTGGAGATGTGAGGCCCAGTGAGATGCTACCCTAAATTATGAATTAATTTGATTAAATGATCAGGTGTCAATATCTATTTAATATTTTAAATGCACTAATTCAATCTCTCAAATTCCAGTTTACAATAGAATACCAAGCAAAAACGAAGATGAATCCAGCTGGACTTATTTTTCAAAGAATCTGTAAGGCGTAATACTAATAACGCACCATGGCCTATTAATAATTAAAAAATGGGTACAGATCTTGCTTACCTAAGTTCCTGTGGTTGTATTAATGTCATAATGTATCTACACTCACCTAAAGGATTATTAGGAACACCTGTTTAATTTCTCATTAATGCAATTATCTAATCAACCAATCACATGGCAGTTGCTTCAATGCATTTAGGGGTGTGGTCCTGGT